TGGAATCATGACTGCATTTGCAATCTCCTGGATGTGCAGCTTTGAATTTCACTAAAAGTACATTTTTCATTTTTATTGGCTTTAAGTCTCCCATGAATGGAACTTTAAAATCTTATGCAATTGTAATTAATTTTTTGCTCTCTCCAGGGTCATCTGCATGAACTTGGGATCACTGTTCTGGGAGACAGACTTTATCTAATGGACCTGATTGGATTATTGAAGAGGAAGAAGAAAGAAGCTGAACTCAGTGCTTCCAAATGGTCTGGAGTTACACCGGCTCCTGGAATTCGGTATAAAGAAGACTGTGGAGAATGTTGTGTGGCCTATTGCTGTCCATGTTGTTTGGCCAAGACTTTCTGGCGTGTCACAGGGCAAGGTGTATTCTACAAGCGGGAACCTCCCTGTGGACTATGGACGGAAGGTAAAAATACGCTGCCTATTTCTTAACCAAATTTAACAATTTCTCAAATCGGTTTTTTTAAATTTTTTTTTTCAGTGAAAGGTAGTTTTTCTTTTTATCAAAAACTCACCCATTCAACTGGATTAGTTGGGTGCTTTATGTCCTTTTGACCGTTGACACCCTAACATCAGTGGGCATATTCTCCATACTGTTGTTCACACATTTCCTAAGCTGCTGACATGGAGAATTAGAATCAAGAGCTTTTTTGGTTGGTGATCATTTCCTTTATGCTCCTGACCCAAATGCAGGATCTACTTAATAAGGTTGATATTGTAAGGAGAAATTAGATGGTAGTCTCTCTCAGGGGTCAGAGCAAGGCTGTGCTCCAAGAAAAATTGAAGGGATCAGCCTGATGTTCTGAAACTGTCAAATCCAGGGTTCCCAGCATATGTTTTTTTTTATGAGAAAACTAAGATTCCTGAGCTGTCCAAGAGCAAAAGTAAGGTGCCACTGGGGCCACCAGGCATTGCTAGACCACAGCCCTGTCAAAGAGGAAGCCTTTTCCCCCCTGGATCTGGAAGTCAATTCTTAGATGATCTCCATTTATAACTCCTTTGGTGCAAGGTACTGTTTATCATCCTTGGTACACCCCCTCCCCCCTCCCCCATCTTGTCTGACTAAACTTTGTAATTCTTAATTGAAGAATGCTTGACAGTGTTACATTTGTGTGAGAGGAAGTTTGAGACATCTCCAACTTTTATTAATACAGCATACATTTACAAGTAAGGCAGTATGGGGCAGTATGAATTCATAAATGGCCTGTCGACATGCATTGCTCATAATTTTTATTTGGTCCAGGCCATGAAAAAATGTGGTGAAATTGTCTCAGTATTAAATGATTTCAAGTTCAGCTAGACAGGGGATTTGATTTTAAACATAAGCTGTACTTTCAGTTCGAACAGAGTACATGGATTATCGATTCTTCAAGGATCTGGAGTTGAAACAAACTCGTAAATGCTTGTGCTGCTGTACTGCATCAGAGCTGGAGATGTATGTTGATGACCATGATTCAAGTGGTGCACAGAAGGAAGGAGAGCCTCCCAATCCAGGTGCATTCCATCCTCATGTGCTGCGTCACCCAGAGGCAGCCCAAGTGGAGCAGATCATCAGAAATGCCTGGAACAGAGCACGATTGGTTGCAGAAGGCTAGGGTTTTCTGTTATGTCATTTTTATGTTTGAGTTCACACTCAATTTTTTCATCTTGTCTAATTAAGACAATTTAGTAAGACTGGTCTGCAGAAGAAGTTTTGTTTTTTTATTTTAAAACCTTTTGTTTCTCTTCTTGTTGATGTTCTGTTACTAAGACAGAAAATTGCAAAAATCTAGCTCCTATGAGCAATTTCAGTCACAATGTAACACAAAAATTTGCACCCTCAAAATATTAGAGATGTGCAAAATAAAACTCCTTGAAAATATTCATGTCATATGGCAGATTCATCATCCTTATCCATGTTCTTTACTTTAATCCTATATTTTGGGCACAGAGTCAGTGAATTTTTTGTCCTAAACATGCAAAAAGACAAGGTATTGGAATATTTTGTATGAATTTTGGGGTTTGTTAGTGTTAATAGGTGTAGTTAATACAAGATATAAAATCCAGCTGTTGTGGAGAATCTAGCGGGTACCCAAATCAAGTAAGGAAGCAAAGTAAAAACCATGGCTTCAACACTTGAACATACTATAGCTGATGTTTATTTCCCTGAATGCAATTTATGTCTCATTTATGTAATGCACAATTGTTTCCTTGACACTTCTAATCTTTATGGCACACATTTTGTTTGATTATGCACTGGAATTTTGTTTACAAATGATTGGTTGCATTTTATTTATTTTAGTGTATGTGTGTTCCTTCAGGCAATATTGTTTTGTCTGATAGAGAAAATGCAATAAAAGTTCCTTTGAAAAGAGTGGAGGTGGCTGAAAAGCTAAGAGTTTTTCTTGGGATCTGGAACTTGTTTCTCTCTTAAGGATTTTTTTTTTTTGCCCTCTACTGCCTGTATTCTAAATGAATTCTTCCGAGTAGAATTTACGGTATGTTAAAGCGTAGGTGAAAGTCTGTAATCTCAAATATTGAATAAACGCCAATTACTAGTTTTCTTAAACAGCTTTTTTTTTTCTGTCATTTTACTATTTGCTTCCCCTTGCACCTCCCAGAGGAATACTGCGGTATTTTTCGCTGAATTAGGGGGCCTGGAGCGAATAATTACAAGGAGCAACTGTCACTCCGCCAACCGAACCTTGGATCTCATGTGGGCCACTGAAACCCAGTGTGCCTACTTGCAGAAAAACAGCCCTGCCATATCTTTGCTGCAGCTCCTCAATTCCGCCTCCCCCCCCCGCATCACACCCCACCCACTAAAATTACTGTTACCAGGGGCTTAAGGATGTGGACTATACTTGAAGAGCAGTTCAGCCCAAAGGAAGAACCTTTCTTAGTTTAGGGGTGTGTAAAAGTGTTTCGACTTAACAGACGTGTGTATAACTTCAAGCTTTGGTCGTGAATATCTTAAAAAAAATTCCCTATCTGACGACCGGCACACCTACTTAGAATTCGGGCACTTTTGTTGCAGCAAAAGAAATCATATTTTTTTCGGAGAGAATGATTCAGTGTAACTTTATTACTACTGTCAAACTAACTAAAATACATCATCAAAGTCAAATAGACAGTTGAGAGTCTTAGAATGCTTCTCAGTGGTGGATGAAGACTCTGCCCCACACTACAGGGGTCAGTATTGCACAGCTCCCCCTCACAACACTTGTACTCGCACTCAGGCTCTTTCTGTTTGCTATTCTTCATGTCGTCTCTTTCATTACATTCCCTCTGGATAACCGTGCACTTATGTTCCATGGCGCATTCTCGCCTATAAACACCATTTTTCCAATCACAAAAGCGCGCGCACTTTGTGTGAAAGACACCCAAGTTGGAGCAGTTATACTGGGTCATTTGGGAATTGCATTCTGCCATGGATGACGCTTTTGGACACGAATAGCACAAGTGCGAAGAGCCTAAAAAACCGGCGAGAAATAAACGGTAAATTAAAAAACGCATCGACTCGACCAGCCAATTTTTGAGGTCACTTANAAAAGAAAAGAAAACGAATCCCTGCCAAAAAAAAAAGGTTGAAATCCGTTCAGTCGATTTAAAACTTCGAAAAAAGATGATCGGAATTTCAAAGCAAATCAAAACGAACTAAGATATAGAAAGAAAACAATTTGTTGGGATTTATCTAAAACTTATCATCATCAACATCATGGTCATCATGTGCCGAAAGCAATATCATGTGCTTCTCTAAATATACTCAAAACGTTTTTATAAACAAAGCTGAAGTTATTTAGATGACTTAATCAGACGGCCTGTGTCATAGTGATAACCTTTCTAATTCATCTTATTCATGTAGGTCTTTGTAATAAAATCGGCTTCGTTGTAAAATTGCCAGTTGTTGACAACTTACGAATGTCGATTAGCATGGTCGAGTGATTGAAACATTAATGACCAATCGCATTTAAGGGAACAAAAATGCATCTTTGAGCCACGATAACCTCAACATTATACCAGCCAGGTGGCCACTGACGATTCACCCTGAAGATAGCATATGATGAAAGCGTGCACGACGCGTTTGTTTATTACACTACTAATTTATATTTTCAGAGGTAAGGGAAAATACTTCTCCGAGCGATCGAAGAAAATGTGTTTTTTTCTTGTTTGAACGTCATAATTTAAGTTCTTTCATGGTCCAACAGCTGCGGGTTATTCCAAAGCGTTTCGTAGTGAGCGGTTTCGAGGGAAGTTGTTCAAACTGTTGAACCCAGTCCGACGGACTGAGCCCAGTGCATGCGAAGAATTCGAAGGACAAAAAATAGTTATCTTCTGCTGGGCGAAAAAACACATCGAAGGGTCATTACAAAGAGCTTCCATGTTGAATTTGCTAGTCTTTTACATATGCAAAATCAGTTTCAAACGAAGATATCAGAGTATGGACATATTCTGACTCATTCACCGTATAGTGAGAGTCTTAGCGGTCGATTCACCTAAAATAAAGCTGAAAGACGTCAAATTTAACAGGAAAAACTATTTCATCCTGGTATAACATGTTTACTTTAAAAAAATTGAGAATTGCTCAAGAGAGAAATAGCCATGTATTAAAATGTGTTTGTGGAGATACTGGTTTACTTCGGGTTAATGAAGCGGTGAAAGCAATCAGGAAAATATGGCTTACTTAGTTTCAAGGATGAATTCTTTATGGAAGTGCTCGATGGGGTGCGATTTAGATCCCTTTTTACTTAAAATGTAAAACGGTAGGTTGCCTGACAGATTAAATATTCATATATCAGCAGGTGATGATTTGCGAACGCCAGTTAAAATCGTTTTCTTGTCTGTTTGTATATTCAAATAGCTTCGATGGAAGATCGATTTTCAACTGCTACACTTTAAGAAATGCCGGATACCGCAATATTCCAGCATAATTTAATAGTAGGGGATATCAGAACTGCAAGTAAAATCGCGAGTTTGAGGGTTATGCCATGTCTACATTGATCCTTATTACATGTAGTTATAGACCATGTTGGTTACGACAGTCATGCAAAGACTGTGGTTAAATGTCTTGTGTCATAATTGAATATATTAGAACTGCCTAGTGTGCTTTGAGCAAGCCAAGAGCATCTTAAGGTCCACTCATAGTTCAGTAAAAATCCCGTAAGAATGGAGAATTCAGGACAATTGTGAACTCTGTTAAAAAAAATGTTCGTCCGGCAGTGTCCACATGCGCCTTAAAATCACGCCTTTCCGAATCAAGGAAAAGCCGCCATCTATGTGCATCGCCGATAAAAGGGGCCTTAAGCAAACCACCACAGCGACGGCGACGAGGCCGTGGTAAAACAAAAGATCTAATGGGCAGAACAATAGTTCAGCACGTGCGTTTAAAACTTTGACCATTCCTTAGACGTCCTCTGCAAAACAACAACGTGGGATCATGCAACTCCCTCCCCCCCCCCCCCCCCCCCCGAAAAAAAAAAAAATTGAAGTGCGTGATCTGAGAAAGGAAACCCCGATGGAAAATTAGTTAAGTTTCCGTTTGAAGCTAAACGCTGCTCACATACGTTATGCGGAAGTTGAGGTGTGGTGCCTTAAGAGACAGTGAAGAAATTCAGCCATTCGCGAATTCATTTTTTAATCGACATCTTCCGCGGTGTTGCCGCCTTGACTGCCTAAGGGCTAAGAAAGGGAGGAAAGCACTGCTTCACTGTAACATGGGCTTAATTAATTCAATAGCATTGCCATCTTTCCTTTTTCTACTGCTGAATATCATTCAGATCCTTTCACTCAAAATCATCAGTTAAGCCGAGAGCTGTTATACCGTCCACACTGCACAGTCTTGTCCTTTCTGCCGATGGTGTATATTCATTTTGTTGTTTCGTACTCGTTTCAGTAACTGTCGCAGAGAGAAATGCGGCTTGCATCCAGAGAACGGTTGATTATCACTGCTGTCGATTTCCATTCCGCTACAAAGGGGTAAAATACAGGAAATGCACAAATAATGGAGACGCCGAGGGCCGCTTTTGGTGCGCCACTGTAGACGTTAGAGATAGCAATAACGAAACAAGTAGCTGGGGCTACTGCAATTGTAAGCTTACTCTAAATCCTGTCTTATGACCTTTATCTCTAGAAGGCATTCTCAGAATGGTAAACTTTACTGACGTTACTTGTCTTCCCTTCACACAGTGAGAAAATCGCAATGTCTTGTAAAGACTACAGAAGGAGACTGTTGCAAATTCCCGTTTAAATATCTTGGGAGAGACTACCTCAGCTGTGTAGCCAATGATAGTGATCCAAATGGTGGATACTGGTGTGCAACACAGAATGAATCTAACAGGTCTTTGACCAGATCGGACTGGGGATATTGTGCAGGTAAGTGTAAATGGAGGTGTTTAACTTTCCCTTGACCAATAGCAGGTTAGAATACTAAGCCATTTTCCTACTGCCCTCGATTATCAGATCAGAATGACTGAAAGTTGCCTAAGATCAGACACAATAAACACAAAATATACTTGCGTGTGTTTAAGCTACACTTTTATCACCATCGCTCTGACGATGGGCTAACGCTCGAAACTTCAGCGTTGAAACTTTTACGAAGGCCAATTTACATTTTCAATTCAATTGATAAAACCCCAATTACCTTTTTATACTCCCCCACCGACGCAGCACCACAGTTTCCCTGGAAACGTACCCTCTTAATTCATACAACTACTATCACCATTTAGTATAATTTCAGAGCTGAGCAAAGAGTTTCCAGCAATCTGATTGGTCGAGCGGTTCCTTATATGACGCTATGTAAACCGCTCCATGCGGTTTATATAAAATGTTAAAATAAAATGTTAATAAATGGTACTAAAATATTATGATTTTAGAAATTTCTCTGTTGCTCAGCTCTGAAATCATACTAAAACAATTATTCGCCTCAGGTTCAGTGAATATTGTCGAATAATCCCCTCGACTTTGTCTCGGGGATTATTCGACGATATTCACCTCGCCTTCGGCGAATAATTGTTAAATATAGCGGTTGCCTCCTATCCTAGCAAAGAGACTGTTCGTGACAGGTATATATCGTACATTCTTGATAAAAGAGTTTCCTAGGTGGCATGTTTGATTAAACAACAATGTCCATAAAAATCAATGTGCTTTCCTTTCGTACGTCTAGTCAGCCTTCAGTACAACCACATCTTAATGGCCACGAAGAGGATACTATCTATTACTGCCGCGGGCGACTAATTCTAACAAGCACAATTTTAACACGGCGAAACGACACGACATGAAACAACACGGTTAAAACTGCAAATAGAACAGGAAACGAAAACCTATTACAATATAAACAACACTAAATACCCAAGGAAAGCTACAAAGGAAACGACGACGAAAACTACTTAATACAAACTTACATTTGTTGCGATGTTGTGAATCCTGCCTAGTGGCGAACAAGTTGCGCGAAGCGAAAAGAACGAATATGCCAACTACACTTGACAAAACTGCACTGGAAAAAAACTGCACAAACTACAACGAACAATACGGTTTAAATACATGCTACGTAACGTAATGACTCAAAGAAAGCGCACACAAAACTTTACTACAATTAACACTACTGCACAAGAAACAATAGACAAAAAATAATGCGTAGCGATCTACACTATCTTTAAAAAAATACGCAGTTGGTTGGGTAAAAATTGAACGAACCTTTTTTTTTAAAGAGATTCAACCTCGTTTTGTTAAATTGCAGGTTCAACGTGCTTCTCATGTCGAAGTAATACATCTTGGGAACATTGTAACAAAAATATGATAAAGAAGATATGTCCTTATAAGTTTGAACATTGCAGTGCAATAACAAAGGAAGAGGCATTTACAAAGGATTGCGCTTCAGACAGTGACTGCACAAATCTTAGTCAGCGCTGCAACGGCCATCGTAAATGCTCACAGCAGTGTTGCCATGGGAACTTGTGTAATGCAGGCAAAAGTCTTAATGCAGGCAAAAGTCTGAAGGGCTATCCTCAAGGAATCATTGCTCTTTCATTTGCTGCTGTGTTCTCAATCAACTTTTCCTTATTAAGAGAATCTGAGATAGGAAATGGTCCTTCCTAGGTGCGCGTCGATGGTATCTATTCACAACAGCGTAAATATTGTTTGCCCGCCTTTCTAGGGTAGATGTCACGTAACAGACTGCGCATGCTCGCTGAAGGAGGTCATCGTCGCTCGTAGTCGGCAATTCTTGTCACCCAAAATTCTTTCCGTCATTTACACGAGACGCCATTGAATAAATGTCAGAGATTCGATAACAAATGGGTCTTGGTCATACAAAGGTTTTTATAGACAAAGTTTTTTTCCGACGGAAAATCAAAGACATATCAAAGGATATCAAAGGGGAAGCCAAAGTTGACTGATAGAAAGGATCCTTTCTATCCGACTGATAGAAAGGATCCTGGAGAAATGACAAGTACATTATAAATTATAAATTATAGATCTACGAATACGCTACCAGAAAAAAAGAATTGCCCTAGCCAATCATGATGTCTAATTTTAGTGACTGATGTTAGAGTTTTCTAGTACACAATGTCACGTGATCAGTTTTCCATCTGTGGATTGTCACGAGATTGAAGATTCTAAATAGAAAACCCCAATTTTGTTTTTTCGACTTTTGACTAACATATTACAACTTACAATGGCTTGGATGACTCGTGTGTAAAGGTCAGTTCTTCTGTTAGAACAAAGGATGTCTTCAGGATAGAAAGCTAACTATGATTACAGGATATTCTGAATGTGTAGCATTTATATCAACGACAATAATTCAGATCTTGCTGACCGTTTCATATCATAAGCAGTCTAGATGTCCCTAAAATTATTCAATATACAAGAGCACACCTGGCTCATCAAGTTTACGAAACTGCTCAACTCATTTTCTTAAAAAGCAATGTGAGCAAATATGCAATCATTGTTAAATCTCAATCACTGTGGCAATTTCAGAATACATCTTTTAGTCGGTAGTTTATTGTCTTAATACTCGGCAGTACAATCTTTTGTCTATGTTATCCTTACCGTCGATTTTATATTTTTTTGTTTGTTATATCAATATTGAGAAAGTCTGTGAACAATACATAAAATAAGAAGCAGAGCGCGTGAAGCCAGAGAGAGGAGGACCCTTTTGAGCCAGCATTACACAAGTCAGCTGTACAACAAGTGACGTCACAATCCCCAGTCCTTGTTTCTTTGGCCTTTCTGCAACTTTTCTCTGCTGTTTGACACATTTTGATGTTGGCCCATCCTTTGGCCACCTGGAATGAATTGCAGTATCGATCAGTCCATCAGGCAATGAGATCAAATTCAGATGGAGTTCTAGATCCAATGTATGATTTACCAAAATATTTGGTCATTTTGCGCACCACAATGTTCTTGCAGAAGCTCTCACTCCTGATAACTGTGCAAAATGATAGAAAGGAGGAGTTTTCGTGATTGCTGGGGGTGTAATTCTTCATTTTATTAAAACTAGTTACGATATCATGTTATATTTGATTGCCAAAAGGATCCGAATTCTTATCACTTGGCAGACAATCCTAGAAAACTGAGACTTTGGAAAACATTCGTTGATATAATATTAATCATAACATTGCTTTTCAATCAATGTAACACCTCTCAAATACCTGTCCATTCTCGTTGTTCATTATCTCAATGCACCTGTCCTTGAGTAGTGGTTCCACAGGGCATATTTCTTCTCCCGTGTGTTTCCGACAGTCACTGCCTTCATCACATGTAAAACATATGATTCCGGATACTTCTGAAACAAATCACCAACATTGCTTAAGGGAGATAGTATGAATGAAGATTTAGAGAATAGTGAGGAAATAATAATTACTGTTAGGTGAATTGAGAATAAAAGAAAATGAGTAACCATAGTGGGAACTTGTGTGGAATGAATTTTTGACTGCTGAGTTTTGTCTTACACTGAATAAAGAGAAATTTGGCATTCAGTTCTAACCAACTTCTAGTGAGAAACCAGAGCCAAGTTGTTATAAGCATACTAATATTTAATCGAGAGTTACCTGTCATATTCGGTCATTAGGCAAATCCAGGACCAAAGTTATCCACACTTCAAACCGCTCTGCCCGAAAGAATTAAGCTAAAAAGCGCGAGCTATTTCGGTGACCACAGTCTTGTTCCCAGGGTCTCCCTTCTTCGAAAAGCGGAGATGGCCTTGGGAATTTGGTTGACGCAAAATTTAGGTGATAACCCATGAAATAAAGTTTAGCCGGCGTAGCCATAAGAAGGTTCCTTACATAGAATACAGAGTTACTTTGTCTAATTCGAAACCTAATTTTTATGCATATGTTATTTTCAAATTCTAATTTTCAGTAATTCAATTAGTTTGCCCTCTCCCTTAAAAACTGCTAATTAAAAATCAGGGTTAAAATAATGCTCAACAAATTGAAATTATGGTAAATTTGTCTAGTGTTTAACTTGCTTCAGTATCTAGCAACTCTTAATTTAAGGAATTATGTTCAGTATAGACCTGTTTTTTTATCGGCAGATTCAGAATATCTTTTTTGGAAATGTGGAGAGTAATTAAAGTTTGGTTTGATATAGAGACATCTCGAAATTACGCCAAACGTGTCATTCTTTCACAACAACAGTTTTGAAACTTAACCCAACTTGTCTTTAGCAGTTATATAATTTAGGCTACAACCTATTTACCTTTGATGAATGAAAGCGCGACGCATAACGACGCAAGAATATTTGCCATCAGTTTTTTTTTCGCGAGAGTCCTTTGAACCTGTCGTCAATAATCCGACACCAGTCGTACAAAACGTTACTGTTCCTCTCAGATCCTTTCTGGCAAAATGTCCGAACGTGCTCTAAATACTGACGTATTCTTCTCCGACAGGTGCATTAACTGACTTTAACAATTCTTCGCTAATTTCACAGCAGTTGTCCTGCTTCACATAATTAAAACAATTTTGAACCCTGCTTAGAGTCACGGTGTTATCACGAGAGCCGGTGTCTGGAGTAGGCCTCATAGGTTTTGGCTTTAGTTATTTCTGAGGTTACAGTTTCAGTTTTTCGGCACCCTCCCCCCCCCCGCCTCTAACAGCTAATCCACTGCGGTTTTACCCTCAACCTTAGTTGTTTCACGCTTAGTGTTTGCTTTTATTTATTGTCTGTTTCTGCCTGTCTCAAGGAAAACATGTTGCCGTTGGCGTAGAAAATCATGATAGACAAAACTTGATCTAGAAAAATGGAGCTTAAGTTCAAATTTTCAAGGCCGCTAAGAATAGCATGTATACAAAGCACTTGAGTCATTCAGGTAAAAACGCTCACGATACTCACGTTGCGCGTCATGCTCGCGTGTTCAACGTGCGCGGTCTTTCTCAACCAGCGCCTATTAAATGGCCGGAGAGTAACTGATCAAATTTTAAAAAGTCACCCGATCTAGCAAACGTTTCTTTAAAAACACATTTTTTAATAGTTAGACATTTTCGCGGGTGGTATCGCTGAGTATTTTTACCAGTTGCGCCTTTTTTTTTACTCGCCCTAGGGCTCATCAAAATAAAAACGAGTGAAAATACTCAGCAATACAAACCTCTAAAACGTCTAATACGTTATTCATTATCCGACTGCTTTATTTCAGGCGCATTTCTAAAAGGGAGGGAAAAGCAAAGCAGGAAGAGAGGGTACTACGCGCAGCAGACAGGTTAAGCCGGTTTTTTTTCTACATTACAACGTAACCAACTGTACAATGTCGCGTGATATTTGTACTCAATTCGAACGTTATTTGTACTCAGTACAATTGGATATAAAAACACCTTTTTGGTATTACAATATATAACTAATATCCTTCCAAAAGTAATAACATTCGAGGTTGACAGGAGCCCATTACCCTGGGCTCCTTAAGTTGATTATTCCTAAAAAGTCATTTAATCATTTACATGCACGTTTCTTGAGGACTGTTTTAAAATACCCCTAAGGCGTTTCGCGGTTTTGCGAAAGATATGGCTTATTTGAGAGGGACTCTAAAGATGTAGAAAGTGGTAAGTTGTCAACTCATAGAGCTTTTTCATTCAAATTCGTCAATTTAGACGTAATGATAAATAAGTTAAATAAGCCCACAGAACGGTTATAAACCGAACGTTTCCCTGGTTGTGTCTTTTTTTTTTTGCCCACTAATCTCTGAAAATTCTCGAGCTGAAAAGTTGAGTCTTAAAACAGGTATATCATCAGGCTAAGGGCCGAACATCCCTTGCTATGCATCTCTGTGCAATCCGCATGGGATTAGCGATCGAAAATACTGTAATCGTCGCAGGAATAAATGAGTTGAAGTAATCTTTTTGTCTACTTCGGTGAACAGTTTTAATTATTGCAAATTTAAGTTGTGAAGTCAATGTCGATAAAATTGGAATATTAACTTATCAGTTATTTTATATGACGCATCATGTATGATTATTTACTTTTGCATTTAAAAAAAAAATGCACCATCGTTCGTACGGAGTATACAAAAAATTGGACATTCTCTAGATGTTAGTGTCCAGTCCGCACCAATAGCCATTATCGCATTTACGCCCACTGTACGAGAGCTGAGCGGACTTTGAAGTTTCGAAACGAGGCTACGCGTCACACAGGTAAAACTTTCAAGTAAAATCGAAGCAAACGGCTACGTTTGGATGCATTTTTATTCATTTTCTTAAGGATACAGCATGTTCTCGTCATGGTTAGACATTCTATTGCGTACGGGTGCAACAGTCTATTCAGTGAATCGGCAACTGACGAGATCCACAAGATTAAGATCGAAACCGCGGTCTTGCCAAACACGTTCAACTATCAAACTAAAAACGCACATAAAAAACCTCTCAAATAAAGAACTTACAAACGACCAGATTAATTTACTGGCAAAAGGGCTTAAATTCATTCCAACACCCGCTACAAAACAAAACCAGATCAGACAACAACTATTGTGTGACTTTGATCAGTTCGCAAGGAGAATGCGTCTGATTTACATATTCCGAGGGGAGGACAAAAAAACCCATCCCTGCCACGTCAAATCTACATGGATACCACCAATACAAAAATCAGTAGCCCTTGAAAGCTATTTAGAAGAGGTTAAAAGTGACCTTTCAGAAATAGAAATTACAAAGCCAAAAGATAATTTGCTTCCGGCCGAACGCAAGGCGCTGAGGGCCTTGAAACGTGACTCTGAGTTAAACCTCAAAAAGGCCGACAAAGGAACAACAACCGTAGTCATGAACAAACGCGACAAAATTTTGCCGTTCCTTTCCGAAATGACAGCCATTCTTTCAATCTTCCTTTCGTGATGCCAGGACAATTACCACTAAGAATTTTAACCTTTTCCTCGGCAGAAAAAAACGCAGATTCCAGAGTTATATGGTCAGACATGGAGTGTTTCTGGTGTTTCTCGAGAAAAGTTGTCCCGATAGCCTCGTCCTGAAACTGTAACTCCGCGGACCCTTTGCATTGCAGACACAAATGCGATAAGGGCTATTCAGCGGTGAGGAGGGCGTGGGAAAAAGTGATGAACTGAAGTGAAGTTACACAAACGGTTTTAAGGAATCCCGAGACATCATGGAATTTCCTCC